CAGATTAAAAACATTACAGATTCTAAATGTTATTTGTTATGGACTTGGTCAGTTTATGTTGGATTTTATTAGATTCATTCGATTTTCTTGTGCGCTGAGAATGCGGATGAACATTGCGCCAGGGCAGCAACGCGGCACCATGTACAATGAATTATTTGGGATCTATGATGATTTCTATATGAATATCCAAACAAAACAAATAATTTCATGAGAAATGTATACATTTTTACATCTAAATATCTTAAATCATGTAGAAATGATTATTTATACAAAAGGACTGGTCTTGGGGCCGGATTGACACACAGACAAGAAAAGACCGGCATAAACTTCTCTGGAACAATTTTATCTACAAATCTACACTTGATATTTTTGTAAACTGTAGAAGGTCCAAATACTTTAATACACCCTAAAGCGATTGAAATTAAGTGCCAGAGAAGGTATCAGAGTGACTGCAGTTTTTTGCTGTTGTACGCAGAATCAAGTAACACAGCTCTGCCCCTCCCCCGCCTGTTTCTACAGCAAACCAGCCAGCTGGCTGAGAAAAAGCTACCAAGCAATGAAAAAGGACCACAAATAGCCCAAAGCTCCTGGAAGGCGACCATCTGAGAGGAGGATGGCTTGGGTTTGTGTTAGCCTTAGCATAAAACACTGATCTCTTGGTGCATTCATGCTTCCTCAAACACAGCTTCCATCTTTCACCTCTGCCAGCCGTGGAGAGTTGAGCCAACCGCAGACCTGATCCCTTCACTGAGCCACAACGGTACACTTTCAATCAAGTCATGCTGCCTGAAAATTTACTCTATCTGCTTCACCACTCAGATATAAAGGCCGTCTGCATGAAATCACTTCTTTTTTATTCCTTTTCTTTTACCAATTTGCCTCTCTCATTTTCTACATTATTAGATACACTCAAACTAATGAACTGAAAGGACTTTTTTATTAATGCTACTTCAAATACTCTATGTAGAGCTCATCAATTTGTTTCCATTTCTGCAGCAACAATAACAAATTGGCTATTTGTGTGAAACAGATGATCACCGCCGCCAAGGAGGTTATTTCCTCGGTTGTGTTTTTCTTTTGTTTACTTGAAAAGTTATGAACAGATTTGAATGAATTTTTTAGCAGAGATTAAATTTTGGTGAGGATCCAGATCATAATCAAGATACAGGAATTTTTTAAAGGATTATTTAACATTATATGCTGGAAAAAAGCAGTTCCTCCCTTAACCAGAGGGGGGCAGCACCAGCATCTGTATATATAGAACCAACATCAGTCTCAAAAAGTCAAGGAGTATTATAATGAAGACTGAAAATACAAGAACACAACAATGGGAAGCCATGCCCTCAAAATTCTCAATCTTCTGATCAAAGAAGAAAAAGAGAGAGAATGAAGAATGCGAGAGCAGAGCAGACACCAGAGGCTGCAGAGACTAGTTATGAACATATGAAAGTTTAAAAAAGTTATGGTACCCCTATCTTAACCTTAATCTTAACTTTGAAAACTTTGAAAGGCTAGCCTTCTGTTTGATTTTCATAAAGCTTTTAGAACTTTTATGGTTCCAGGTACGGTTAAAACAACTAATTGGGTGAATCGATTGTTGAAATAACCATCAACTAATTTAGCAATCGATTAATTGTTAAATGGAGTAAAGAGACTGTAAAATATGCCTTTAGCTGTCAGAACAACCCAATTAGAGCAGTGATTATATCAGAATTATAAAAAATATATAAATATTTTGCATTTAAAATAAAAAAAAATATTTTTCATCTCCCAATATGCTCTATCCAGAACCCCTCAGGTGGAAAAAAATTAGTTTCACCTGGTTTAATTACGTAAAAAAATCTTCTTTAAGAACCAATACTATCTGATTATTAATTGATTAATCAAAAAAACAACAACAGATTAATCAATTTGCAAATAATCGTTGCAGACCTAGTTCCAGGTTAGAAAAAAAGAGATTGAAATTCAAAATGGCTGCAGCCGACATGGCAACTATTGCTATTTCAAGATCACAGCTTGTTTTTTACTTCTATCTCTTTGTTTTTATAAGTGAAAATGTTCATGTTGGCAAACAAAGCAAACAAATTTAAGGTTCCTGGTTTGCATTGCTAATAGCAGTTAGCCAGGCCACTGAGCACAATAAAGACACTGAAATTAATGCAATGTACTAATATTTTTATGATTGTCATGTTAAACCAAAAACTTTTTTGCAGGGTGGATTTTAAGTTAGTGAAGACAAACAGACAGAATATAAATATATCATATATATTTGATGGTAAGATGGAGGGAGAAAAATGTAAAACAGTCCTGGGTAGCTAAAGAAATATAAATAATTTTGCAATTCAATTAGTATTTTTCTTTACATTGCTTATGTAATCTTTTGGTTTTTATATCTATTCTTACCTGGCAAAGTGTTGAAGTCATCGATACGAAGCATGTGCTCGCTGTCTGGGTCAGAGGCGATCAGGTTGAGCTCTCGGAGGAACTCGGACTGAGTTGGGTCCGAACTGTTGACGATCCCTAAAGCAAACATCTCAATGTTGGCAGCATGGGCTTCTCGGACGGCCAAATCCAGCTTGACAGGCTCCCGTTTGTCCGTCTGCCCGTCGGTAATGACGATAGCCACCTTGCTGACGCCCAGGCGTGAGCTGTAGAAGGCCTCCTGAGTGGCTTTACGGATGGCGGTACCGGTATAGGTGCCCTCGCCCATGTATTGGATGTTCCTGATGGCCTCCTTGATATCCTCTTTGTTGGAGTAGCGGGCCAAGTTGAAAACCAGCTTTACTTCCAGGCTGTAGACTATCAGACCAATCCTGGTGGCATTGCGGCCTACTGTAACCCGATCCACCAGAGTGGTCACAAATCTCTTGATGATCTCAAAGTTCTCAGGTCCCACGCTCTCTGAGCTGTCGATGACAAACACCAGCTCCATCGGCCTCTCCTTGCACTTGATCCCGCATCCTTGAATGAGATCATCGCCTAAGTGTCACTTTCAGTGAGTGAAATCTGATCTAACCATCTACAGATAAGACTAAACGGAAAACAAACCCTCTCCTGTTACGTTTGTCCTGCTAATCTAATACAGACAAGTGAAAGATCAGAGGATACTTTACCACAGATCTCTTTGATCATTCGAATGATGTCCTCTCTCTGAAATCAATACGTCATCACAACATGAGCTCACGAATAACCGCATTAAATAAGTAATGCGAAAGAATATGAAGTGGGACTCACAGTGAGGCCTGCTTCCCCTTTTACACCCGGCAGCCCCTAAAGGGAAAAATCATTGAGCTCTTATCAGGTAGAAAACTATCAAATGATCCGTTTCCTTTCTCCACGTCTATCCTGACCTGGGAAACCCCTTAAATCAAATTTCTTATCACTCACAGGCTGTCCCGGCATTCCCGGATCCCCAAATTCTCCCTTAAATCCTTTTAGTCCTCTTTCTCCAGATGAGCCTCTGTCACCCTGATGCACAAAAAACATCAAAACAGCAGCAATCAACATTTTACTTGTGAGAATAATGAGGGAAATGTTCAGAAGGACCTAATGACTGACTTTTTCTCCTGGAAAGCCCTCTCCAGGTAAACCCCTTGGTCCTGTCACACCCTGGGCGCCCTGTTCACCCTAAACAAAGAGTTAAAACATTCACTAAGAGATAAATTGCGTGAATATATTTGAATACCTCTTAGAGTTAATTGATGATTATACTTCTTGAGTGCATTAAACCACAGCCTACCTTGGGGCCTTGAACTCCTAGTCCCTGTGGTCCCATTTGGCCCGGTGGACCTGGCCTCCCAGGGTTTCCCTGCAAAAAGAATCCCAATCAGTCCCGGTAAAATAAAGTGATGCTCAACTATTTCCTTTCAAAAAGTACCACTTTTGTCTCATCTGCCCAAAGCTAACTATAGTGATACTTTAAGAACATTTTAGGGAAGTTTTATGTTAAATGCCAACCTAATTAACCTTTGTAAGCACATCTTAAAGTGGAGCTAAATGTCATAGAGGGCTGTTTAAAGTTATCCAGACATAAAAACTGTCTTCTCTAACATGAGTCATGTCTATCATCGTTAACACGGCTTGAACACGGCCTGACATCTGTCAAAGAGATGTGTTTCTTCACTTTGTTCTGCTGTCTGGGACTTCATCTGAGCTCCTAATTAAATCTTGTTTAGTGCAAATGACTGTGGAAGCGCTCCGACCTGCAGAGACACTGGTCTGGAGCCCACAGGGAACAAGGACGGGGTCTGTGAGGACATACAGGGTGCTGGAGGTTGTTTAATCAATGCTTGTTAGGACAAGTGTTCCTCAGAGCACATCTGTCTGAAGAGATTCACACTGTTCAGAGTGCTGTAGGGGTGATAATGCACTGTTCAACAAAAATCAAAGGAGCACTTGAATAACACATTAGATCTCAGTTGGAAAAAAAGAAATCAAAGTGATGGAGATCTTTACTGATCTCACAGGAGATCAGAGTTAAAGAAGAAGGGAAACTTCGAAAATGAGGCACATTGGTCCAATTTACAAAACATTTTGGCTATCTATACTTTACTGGACAACTTTTTACTTCTACTCCTTACTTTTTTTTTTTGCCAATATTTACTTTCTACTCCTTACATTTTAAAAATGTATTATTTGATCATATAAACACATTCGTGTGATGGCCTGTTGGTATTTTAAAAAAATTTAAACCATCAAAATAATTCGTTTTATCTACACAATTCATTTCGTTGTGGTTGAACTCTGTGCTGCACCAACTTGTTGTTCACCACATATTAAAATAAATCATTTTTCAAAATGACGCAAAGCTAAATTTGACAGCACTATTAGTTATGAAAATAACAAAATTAAGTCTAAGGAATTTATCATCCAGAATTGTAGAAAAATGCTCCTTTAATCGTCTAGTGCAGTAAAACTTCTCTCCTTAACATTTTATCCTGCATTACTTTTACTTTTATACTTCAAGTAGTTTTAAAAATTGTACTTTTTCACTTTTACTGAGTAAAAAGCTTAATTTAAGACTCAGAATTATTTTCAAACAGAAGAATTTATACTTCTACTTGAGCAATAAATATAAATTCTTTTGAAACCTAGCGTGGATGCATGCATGCGTAATATGCATGATGTATGCTGCTGTATCTCCTCCCACATCCTGACCAGAGTATTCCTTTGTTCCCGGTCAGTCGGAGGTTTAAGCACCAAAACATGACATCCCACAGATCTATTACTGGATTTGCATTAGAGGAGTATGGAGATGAGTCAAATCCTTCATCTTCCAGGAACAGCCTACTTACTTTTGGCACAGGAGGAATGACCAGGATGAGTCCAAGACTCACTGCGGCAGCAAAACATCTGAGGCTTTCATTATGACAGCTAATTGAGTCTGCAAGTCTTCCATCGTTCATCCTGTGCATGTCTACGCTTTGATCCATAGATATGTTGAAATTCATGTTAAATAATGTTGCAGGTAGCACAACATGAGCTCTGAATGAACCTGCAAAAACAACAGGACACTAGTGCTGAAGCTGACGCTGTAGGTACCAAACCTGCTCGGGGAACTGCCCCTGCTGATGACGTCACAACACGGGAATACCACTCGGACAAACTGTATTGTGTCCGTTTCATAAGAATTCTAATCTTTTCAGGGGTCTCAATTTATCATTAATAATTTTACATTTCCTTTAGCGACCTAAAGTAGCCAAAAGTAGAAAACAGTCATTCTCAGTCTTGAAGGCAAGTACTGCGTTCTGCACCTTAAGCCCCTGTCACACCTTTCCCGATTTAGCCAGTGTATGCCTGATGTCCCAGAATCTTCTAAAACGTTGGCATATGCTGAACTTCCTATGTATTTTTTCAATTTTGGGCGTATATATAGCATATTCATAATGAGTCCAGAACTTATGTCCAACGTCAGCCTAACTTATGCATAACAGACGGCAGTGTAATGCCCATGAAATGTCACAAGCCAGTGTCCTGAGGGGGGGCAGCAATGCCTGCATAAAAAGCTTTCTTTAATCGTGGTAATTACCTAGCTGCCGTTTATCTCCCGCCAAAAAATATATGAGGGCTTGCAGTCACAGCAGACTCAGCATCATGTCTGCTAGGAAGTTTGTTGATTGTGGGCGTGAACGCAGGGAGGATCCATCACACTCACCTTCACGCTCACCCTATGATGCGGATGAAGCCTGGAGGAGAACTGACAGTTTCCTCCTTTGAGCCCCGTTACGTACATACCAAAATGCTGCCAATACGCCATTAAACAGTGGCTGTAAGTTAGAAACACGTTCAGCGGTCGTCTGGAACATCAAATACGTTGATATGTGTTGGAGATAAGTTCTTGATAAGTTAAGCTTAAGTTACTCATAGGTTTTGGATAACCTAGACACCACGACTTATGAGTAGTTTACACCTAAAGTATGTCAACAATCAGATAACTTACCTGTCACTTAAGCCGGGCATACACTATGCAATATTCTAAGTCGTTGCACGCAGCTACAGTTCACACTGTACAATTAAACCGCAGGGTTTAAAAGTTCACAGCTCACGATGCAGACAGCATACTTGCTTTCTCCTTTTGGCTACTTTAGGTCGCTGAAGGAAATGTACAGTAAAATAGGTAATGATAAATTGAGACCCCAGAAAAGATTAGAATTCTTATGAAATGGGCGTAATACAGTTTTTCCAAGTGGCACACGATGCTCACACTGTGCGGCCTGACACTACGATCTACCTGATCACACTGTACAAACTATACTGTAAAAACCACGTTGGACTCAGCTCCACAGTGAGATGGCGCTACTGGGACTTGTCTATCCGGAGGCCCAAGAAGAGGAATATGAAGCTCACTAGAGTGAAACACGCTGCCTTAGCAATTTTTGCAATTTTGTGTGCTGAAAGCCCTAAAAAGACAAGGCGATGATGTATTTGGACAAAGACATGACTGAGCAAACGTGGCTACTACGGTCTGTCAATTTTACATAAACAATTCAATTTCACTCGCACTACCTTCCATGCTTTTGTGTTTCCTTCTGAAAGGACGAATGAAGAATTAGCGATTTGCCCACGATGGCTGACTAATTTTCAAACGTGTTTGAAATTTTTTCCTGACCTTCTGATTCCTGATCGGGAGGTTTTCGTGAGCGACTGATCGCCCGTCACTACCCCCTGTATACTACACGATGCATGACGCATGATCAGGCTGAAAGTCAGCCGGATTGAAAAATTCTCGCACGACTGGAAAAATCTTCCCGAAAAGGGCAACAAAAAAAAAATCATACACTGTAAGGCCAGCTTTATGTCCGACCTATGGTATATGCTGGTATACGTACTTGCTGTATGTTGACGTGTGCCAACGTGCTTCAGTGTGCTAATAACTTATACAAAACATACCCATAAGTTATCCAACATATGCCAGCGTTGCCAGATCTTTCATATGTCAGGCATAAGCTGGTCTAAGTGTTTTACCAAAAATTACTTTTTTTGGAGATTTTAGACAAAGAAAACAACAGTTATTCTACTTGCAGAAATTGGACAGTTCTTGTTGACAAGTCGTGTAGCTTAATTTGGGTAACTGACCAAACTTAAAGAGGCTAACCTGTTAGTGGGCACTACCCAGGTCTACCCTTTATACCATATTCTTGAAGTTACTTAGTTCACCAAAAACAGATCTTTACAGTTTTGTTATCCATCAGAAAGCCGACTCATTTCATGGATGCTGCAATATGTTATTTTTCTTATTCGGACCAACTTTACAAAGTCTGTTTCTAATAGTTTAGTCAGAGACGTTTAAGGAAACAGTCCTGCTGATGAAAGACTAACCTCCAACAGCCCTGTCTACAGAATCTCCTTGATGCTCTTCAGACATTTCTGGGAGACCAAGCCAACTTTCTGACAATGGCATGTATAGAAGTGTCATCATGATGGAGTTGGATTCCCTGTGGAACCTCCTTTGGGTCTGTCCTCCATCTGCAGAACCATTTCTGTTTCAGGGCTTGTCTTATTGTTGCCCCGTTAGTTCACCTGTTTTTTATTTCATTACCACCTAAAGAAAAGCTGATGCTGATTTAAGCCTTATCTGTCACAGTCTGGGTTCTGTTAAGTTTTCTTTTAGTATTCAGTTTTACTTTGCTCCATGTTTTCTAGTTTTATTGGTTTAATTCCTATTTTGTTGTGCTTTCTGGATGTATTTGAGTTCTTAGGTTTTTCTTTATGTCCTCTGTTTCCCTTCTTTTGTTGTTCTCCTTTTCCCTAGCTCCTTTCTAGAAGCCTCTGTTCACACCTGCTCCCAATCAGCTTATTAGTCCTTTCTTTGTTCATTCAGCCATAAATACTCTCCCTGTGTAGTTCCTCAGTACTGGTTCCTCATTTTTCCCACGTCTATTCCTGGCTACTCATGTTTGTTTTCCCTGATGTCTCGAAGTTTCTGGTTTTTTCCATATTTTGTTATGTTGGATTTTTGGATTCCTGCTTCAGTTGCCTGTGAGCACTGAGTAATTCCATTAAAACTACAAAAACTCACCTCTGCCTCTGCATTTGGGCCCTCAAGCAACCTCACTACCCATTGTTGACATCTGCTATTAAATGGCCCAGATTATAATTCCAGGGGTTTGACTAACTCGGTATTATACTCTGATTAAAAATTGTTTCTTCAATTCTTTTTTATCATTGTATAAAACATCAAGGTCAGAATCATATTTTTTGATTTAAAGATTTCTGTCATGATCTAAAAGTTAAGATTTAGGTTCTGATTTTTTCCATAATGGCTTTCCATGTCTCTTATTTTTGCAGTTATTTTCTTTTCTTACATTTTGCCAGGTGTTATCTAGTTTCTCTTTTATATTTTTATTGCTTTTAGTATGACGTTTCTTTATTATTGAATAGATTAGACAGGTTCTCTTAGTTTCTCATGTGCTCCCCCCCCCCTTTAAACATTTCTTTCTCATTCAAAGTCCTCAGCTAAACAGTAGATTTCCTTCACCTGTGTTTACTAATTTGTATTCCCCTGATAACACGCCAGTGTTCTGTTTCTTTGCTTGTCGTTTATTAAATAGATTAATCTCTCCACGCTTCATCTGAGCATCTATCTGAATTTTGCTCCAAATTAACAAGTTTTGACAAGTTTCACAACCAACAAAAAGCATAGCTGGTTTAGGGAATTGGGGAAAGTTTTCTGTTATTTATTTTTTTTTTTACCCAACCAGAATCTGAAATGTGCATCATTCAGCTCTGCTGGTTTGTAGAACTAAAAAACCCAGAAGGTCTTAAAGCTTTCAGCGCTTCAGATCTTTTGGGGTTCATCTCTAATATTTCTGTATAGGAGGGCTTCTTCATGGCTAAATGCTTGATTTGTGAAGTGCATAACTACGTTTAGAGTTACTGTATAAAGAGGTTCTCTGGATGTCAGCAATACCCATAAATCAATAAAATTTTACTCCAGCCTGTTTTAGATTTGTTTTTGCATATGTTTTAATCATATGATTTTCCCTTTTTGTGATTCAACCCAATCAATTATATTGAAGTTCATGGTAAGGGCTTTGACAGAATATAGAAAAAGTTTTATAAATGCTTGTGGAAAAAAGACATCCAAAAGAAATCTTCAAATCCTGCTTTCAATTCAGGTTTGCAGGATTTAGGTTCACATTGTGCTTTCAATTAAAAAGAAGTTTAAATGAAAATCTCTAAACATTGAAAAGGCTTTTTAAATTTACCGGAGGACCTTGGACGCCTTCACCTGGAGGTCCAGGTAAACCAGGCAACCCTCTGAATCCAACATCCCCCTGAAAAGTTGCAGAACAAACAAGATGGTCAGTAAAAAAAAAAAAAACTACATACATTTACTGAGAAAACCAATTCAAGCTCTCAGTAAAAATATTTTAATCTTAGAATTAGACGTAATCAAAATCATAACATTCTGTTGCCAGCAGCTTTGCAGCTTTAGAGGTCATTTTATTTAGGATACAATGGGACTTGTATGAACCCATTTAACCTTTTTATAAAACATATTTAAAAATGGAACAGCATTCACAAAATCAGAGCGATGATATACTCATGTTTTTTTTCCATTTGAACCAGGGTTTTTCTTTACAATGAGCTGAATTGAATCATAAACTGGATCTTTAGGTGAAGGCTGTTTTTTATTCATTGATAATTTGTGCTTTTGCAGTTTGGATCATTATATTGATAATTTCATTCATTCAAGCAAGCCCATTACTATAGTTTGGTTTGCTGAAGAATAAATTAAGCCAAATTCAACTTAAATTGGTGTCTGAACTGTTTAAAGTCCAGCTACAACTGAACCTGAGATTCAGAATGAACCAAATTCCTTTAATTATCAATTTGTACAAATATTATTTGCACCATTATATCTTTCTAATGTGTAGGTAACTATTCTACCACCAGAGAAGAGCTTGCAAAGGACTGGTTCTGAGGTAAATTATGCTCTCTGATCTTTCAGGTAATTCATTTGTACAAAAGGAAAAAGAGAATTTTTATGTCAGGGTTGCTTCTCATCAAAAGGATTTGAAATATTGACCAGTTCTGGTCAAGTTTACCGCAATGAACCGAGAGAAAGGATCAAACATCGTTCAAGAGGAAGTTCCTCAAACGATCTGGGCCTAATCTGGTGAGGATCATATACTGTGCTAACTCCAGTGATAGAAGGAAGAAATTAGGCTTAAGTGTCCCGGACCCAGGGAAGACTACAACTCTAATCATTTTCTTGGGTACTCATCTAAGCATATGTCGATTCACAGCATCAAAGTCTTCTGCCGGGGCCCGAGCACCAAATAACTTATTTTGTTCGTCTTTATCTGCCTCTGCATGGCTGCTCATACTAAGCATGGTTTTACTGAAGGTTTGTTCCTGTTAAAACTGAGTTTTCCTCTCCACCTTCGCTACATGCATGCTCAGTGCAAGGGATTGTAGAGAGTCAATGAGTCCTCACAATCAGCTGGTTTTCCTTAGATAGAAATATCTCGAGGAATATGATTGTGTTACATATATTAATGAATTGAATATTCTCTAATTTGGACTTTTATCTGTGAGTCTCTCCAGGTTGAAATAACATCACTATGCTCTTGCTGTCATGTATTGGGACTGTTTCCAGCCTAATGTTGAAGAAAAGAGCTTTTTTTTCTTCATACATCGTGTAAAAAAAAAAAGTTCACTTGAATGTAATTTTGTGTCTAGCCTTCAGGGGTCACCAACAACATCAGAATCTTGGTTTCTCTCTTATTTAATGTCTATCTAGTTCAGACGTGTTCTCACCTTTGGTCCTGGGATGCCCACACCCTCCGACCCGGGTTCTCCAGGAAACCCAGGCAGGCCAGGAGGACCCTAAACAACACAAACCATCATTCAATAGAGGATTATGCAGCATCTCTAGGCATACTCGCTAGTTTTATTTTTCTCAACATAATTATCATCTTCTAGTCAATTGCAACATCCTCACGTCCCTAAACTTCATTTATCCATTTGGGAAAATGTTTTTCAAAATAAGAATCTGCTCCTGTAAGCCTGTAAATCTAGTCCTTTTTTTGTCTCTGTTAGCTGCAGGAATAAACAGGACTTCTTCTGCTACTTTTGGGTAATAAATGTCTAACAGATGGATGGACAGATGGAACCGATGAACATAAACTGGAAAATATGAGACAGATAATGAAGAAAAGAGTGTAATATGTGATAAATGGTGCTTATGTAAAGAATTAAATTGATATTTTTTACCATGGGACCGGGAAAGCCATCTCCTTTAGGACCAAATGGACCTGCAGGGCCTGGATCACCTCTATCCCCCTATGACAGAACAAGAAGTATAAAGTTAAAAAGATTTTATGCAAACAATGTTAAGAAAAGCCAAACATTTGGAACAAGGATAAGAACAACAAGATGTGAAGTTTTCTTCAATTTCCTCATTATGATACGCTCTCAGCTCTTGCCAAGGGAAGCTCTGCACGGTGCAAACATGTGCAGCCCAGTCTGCCTCCCATAAGTGCAAGCTGGTAATTGATTTTCCGAAGAAAATGGTTTGGTCAGGACATCTGAGGCCTTGTTTGTTTAAAGTTCAACTCAGTTCATTAGAACTTTCCCCATACCAGTAAAAGTATCATGATTGGATTTTAGCACAAGGAAATTTTTCTGTTACCTTCGGGCCAGGAAGTCCATATCCAGTCTCCCCGATTGGACCAGGAGGACCACTTGGACCAGGATCGCCCTACAATAAGGTTTCATAGCATCAGTATTTCTGATTTAAGTAACACACACACGCAGCTACATGTTTAGATGTTTTAACTAGAGGTCAGGGTCCGGATCACGCTATAAGACTGAGTAAAAAACTAAACTCAACCAAAATACCCGTCATTGTTTTAGCAGGAAATATAAGCAGCTCTTATACTCAAAAAAGCAAAAAATGTTCAGTCAAGCCACACATTTTATAAATGTTTGTTGTATGTCAGCAGAGATGGCAAAAGTACTCACTTTCTGTATTTGAGTAAGAGTACAGGTACTTGTGTTAAAAAATACTCTGGTAAAAGTGGAAGTACTGATTAAACTTCTTTACTCAAGTAAAAGTAACAAAGTACAGGCTTGTAAATTTACTTAAAGTATAAAAGTAAAAGTAGAAACCACTTTTTTCATGCCGTTGCCTACATTTTAAATGGA